ACCTTCCTTCCGAGGAGTGGCTGGTGGGTTTGAACCACCAGCTTTCTGGTTAGCAGTCAAGTGCCTTAGGCACTATGCTACCAGAGCTCCTATATCCTTATATCCTATAAGTCGGAATAGACTCGGCACACAATCACCACCTTGCTGATAAATAATAATCCATTGCTCCTTATCATATCCTTAATACTTAAAACACTCGCAAAGCCAACCAAGCTTTCTGACTGCTCTGAACGCCAGCACAGGCACTCTGGCTGACCAGTCCCAGCTCCCTCAAGCCTTGCCTGAACTAGAGATTCCTCCCACCAATTAACTAGGCCACCTTGGGACAGCCGCGGGGAGGGAAGTAACTTCTCAGATACACAGATCCAAAGAAAAAATAATAATTAAATAAATTAAAAAATAAAATAATTACTATAAATAAACAGGTCTGCACTATTTTCATACAACTGTCCACCCAGCCCAAGCTCTTCCTCCTCCCTAATGGGATTCTGTATCCAGACTATTATGGCCAGTTCATTCCTGTAATTTACCTACCCCCATCCACTTTGTTTGCCCTAATATCCCTTCATTGCACACCAATGTCATAGGATTTCATTTCACTTACAAAACAAAATCTTTATACAATGAAAACTGACAAATACTCCCAGTAAAGTCAATATTATACCTCCCCCTCTTAAGCCTTTTGATTGAAGATGTATAAAAAGGGGACGATTTGGGGAAGTCAGATCTCCAATCTTGATCCAGTCAGGTAGCTGGAAAAAAGAAAAGACAAAGGATTAAAACAATGCAGCCCCTATTACTGAAAATTCAGAACTTGACCTCGATTTTTTTTCCCACATAAGGAATAACGCTTGCTAATTTTTATCGTAGGAGCTCTGGTAGCATAGTGCCTAAGGCACTTGACTGCTAACCAGAAGGCTGGCGGTTCAAACCCACCAGCCATTCCTCGGAAGGAAGGTGGGGCAATCCTACTTCCATAGTGACACTGCCTCGGAAACCCAAGGAAGGGTCGCTATGAGTCGGGGAAACCCAAGGAAGGGTCGCTATGAGTCGGGGCCGACTCGACGGCAAACAACAACAACAACAATTTTTATCGTCAGGAAATAATGTGCTCTAGAGAAACAAATATTCTAGAGAACAGAAATTTAATAAAAACTTGATTTAAAAATTTAAAAGATTTTTCCTTTAAAAATATAAATAAAGATAAATACATTTCTCCTTTAACATAATTTAAATTTCTGATGATGGATCAGAACCATCAACATAAAGTTATCATTTGATCAGTATTTCCAAAGTGTATTCTTCAGAACAGAGCTTCACAGGATATCAACAGAGAATAGAGGCATCCCCCCTCAAAAAAAAGTGTTAAAATTTATTAGCAAAAATTTGCCTTTTAAAAATAAAAGAAAATATACACATACATATACATATACACACACACACGTGTGTATATATATATATATACAAACACATATGCACCAAAAGTTACTAGTGGTTATCCGGGGTAGAAGGGAGGGGGAAAGGGAACGCTTTTATTTGTGGGCCACTGAGTCTATTCTATGCTAATGGTGGTGGAATATTTTGGAAAAGGACAGCAATAATGGTGGCACAACATGAAAAATGTCATCAATGTCCCTGGACTGTAAATGTGGAAGTTGTTACGTTGGTGAATGTCTTGTTGTGTACGTTTTTACCACAATAACAGTAAAAGAAAAAAAATGCCTTTGAAAGCCTTTACTATATTACTATGTATTGTAAGTTTCCTCAATTACACCAGCTGTCCTTGAGCTCACGCCAACTCATGGTGACTGCATGTGTGTCAGAGCAGAACTGAAGAGCTATGCTCCACAGAGTTTTCAATGGTTGATTTTTCAGAACTCAACTGCCAGACCTTTCTTCAAAGAGCCTCTGGGTAGACTCAAACTCCCAACCTTTCAGTTAGCAGCTACTATGTTAACCATTTGCACCACCCAGGGACTTATAAGCAGTATTCCTATACCATACTGAGCAGTATATTTCTATAGTCTATTGAGCAGTATGTCTCAAACATTACCAATAAAAATCTTTTTAACTGTATTTTCACAGAGCAATTCATAGGACAGTGTTCCTCAAAATATCCTTTGGGAAAAACTGCTATACATGTCACTATAAAAACAGGTGTGGTGCCTTCTTGACAGAAATGAGAACACTAATCCTCAAATTTATATGTTAGGGCAAAGCACCTGAACAGCTAGAGCAATCCTAAAGAAGAATAAAGTAGGGGGATTCAAACTTCCTGACTTCAAATCATACTGTAAAGCTATAGTAACTAAAACAGCTTGGTACTGGTATAATAATAGGCATAAGACCAATGAAATACAATTGAGAACCCAGAAATAAACCCATCATCTCTGGTTTGTGACAAGGATGCTAAATTCATCCAGCAGGGAAGGAAGAGTCTCTTCAATAAACAGTGCTGGCAGGGGACATCAAGCTCAATTGGCATAACATACTATACAAAACATTATTCCACCTCCTACTTTGGCAAGTAGTGACTGGGATCTTAAAAGCTAGCAAG